TTTATGAGTACAATAATTGAGATATTTTACTACAGTAGTATATGATTGCTGAAGGAAAGGTACTTATTGAATTTGTCATATTAACTCTTTTAATTTGTTCTACTTACAAATAATTAATATTATTAATGATGTTGCAATTTAATGTTTGATGAATTACCAAGATAAATTTATATTGTTTCTGTTCCATACACATTGTATATGTAAATGAATATTTCAGGATTCACAGAACTATACTTTTATGACACTGTTTAATGCTAGGTATACTACATTTTCAGGCTTTTTTGAGTATACCCTGTTGAGATTATCACTTATTGAGGAAACTTCTAGAAGGTTGTAATTTGAGACCAACAATAATCTACCTGGACCTTAGGATATATTATTGATAACTTGTGGTGACTACGCTTCAACACTTAAGGTCAGACACTTATGTTTTTCCAATTTTCTTGTGCTGTGATTCTCTGGGACAGTTTTTCCAGCTGAGTAACCGATCATCGAACCTATGAACTGTGTCGTGCTACTGCACAGTTATTTAATGGCTTTAAGCCTAAGTAATTCTTAACTTTTATTCTAAACTTGTTCTATATTGGTGTATTGTGTATATATAATAATTATTTGTTCTCTTATCTACTTAAAACAAAAAAAAGGGTTTCTGATTTAAATATATAGTAGAAGGACGTTTGAAATATTTTGTAAATTAGGTATTTACTTGGTATTGTATTATAATTGTTGTATTCTGAAGCAAGTCATAAGCTTAGGGGTTTGGAAATATTTTTGAGTAACAAAATACTTTGTAACTTGTATGAGCTCTGAATTAATGGTTCACATTTATAAAAAAATTGTGTTTTGTGATTTATTGATTGAGTAAATTGATATGTATTCGAATTTAAAAGGGGGTTTCTTGTTTTCACCTTAATCTTTAAAAAAAAACAAGTGGCGCTTTTTCCTGACCTAGTCTTAGAAATTCAACCCCTAACCCAACCCACTCACCCACTGAGTATAGCTGAGGTATAAATATAATTTTGGAAGGTAACAAAGTTAGAAACGTGCTAGAGACTACCCACATTTTTTCTCACATTCACATATAGTGCGACTTGGGAGGAGAACAAAAAAGCCTGTCCTCGAAATAGCGGTCGCAGTGATCCCAGCACGGCCTGCAGAGTTTTCTATATCAAACTGCTGGAACTCCTCCGCGATCTGCGCAGCGGAGCTATGTTCGGTCGGTCTGTCTACATAGTCCACGTCATCGAGATGCAGATGCGGGGTCTTCCACATGCCCACATCGTGTTTAAAATCGAAGGTGATGGACCTGTGCAGGCTTCCGACATAGACTCCCTCATCCGCGCTGACATTCCATCTCCAGAGGAGGCAGGAGGCCGATTAAGGGCATTGGTTCTGCGGCACATGATCCACGGCCCTTGTGGTACGGATCACAGGACCGACTTCCCTTGCTGGGACACTGCCAAAGGCAGCTGTTCAAAATTTTTCCCCAAACCTCCCTGTGAATCAACCCATGTAGACGAGAGGGGTTTTGTTAAATATCGACGTGATTATGGTAATGAGGGGAGTATAACTTCAAGAAACAAATCGATTCCTGTACATGACGGCTGGGTCGTGCCGTACAACGCAGCATTACTTCTTAAATACGAGGCACACATCAACTTGGAGGTAGCTTCCACTCGTCGGGTGATCAAGTATCTGTTTAAATACCTCATGAAGGGTGGCTCGCTTCAGAACGTCAAAGTTACTCCTCTTAGTAAACAAGACGATGAAGTTGAGCACTACGTCTTGAAGCGTATGGTGGGAGCCAGCGATGCATGCTGGCGTCTCTTGGACTTTCCCATCTCAAAGTCTGAGCCCACAGTTGATTGTCTCCCTGTCCATCTAGAGGGAAAACAGACTGTGTGCTTTCACCCTAACAACTTGACACACGCCACTTCGGGAGCTACCTCTGACCTACTCTTGTATTTCAATAGGCCTCTTGACTCGGTATTCGACGATTTAACATACCAGTCTTTTTTCGAGCAGTACGTTATTCATAACGGCAAGCATTTCCTTACCTCAAGAAAGCGTGGTCAAAAGATCTGTCGTCTCTTCTGGGTCTCGCCAAACAGAAGCGAGCAGTATTTTCTTAGACTCCTGTTAATGGTCATACCGTGTCGTGGATACGCCGACCTGCTTGCTCGTGGTGGTGATGGTTGCACGACATATCAACAGGTGGCGCGCACCCTCGGTTTGGTTGAGGACGAGTACCACCAAGCCCTCAAGGAAGCAGCTCGATTCATGGTCGGCCCGAGGCTCCGTTCTTTCTTTGTCCTTCTGTGTAACATGGGAGCTCCTGTAGCCCTCTTGTGGGATGCTTTCCGTGACGCATTGTGCGAAGACCATTTAGAGCGGAATCCTCTTGATCACGAGGTTGCGTACAAGCTGGCTCTAATTGAGATCGACCGAAGCCTTCGACGTCAGGGATCCTGCTTGGCCGACCACGGTCTCCCTACTGTAGATGACGACACGACCGAACTGGGGAGGGAACTTCTCATCTACGGTGAAAATCGTCAGAGATCACTTGTAGATGAGTGGGAACCTAAACTTTCCCACGACCAGAGGGCGGTCTTCGATTATGTTCGGTCTATACTACAGGACCAAGTCTACAGCCGGTCTAAAAAACTGATCTTTCTTGACGGACCCGGAGGCTACGGCAAGACCTGTCTAATACATGTTATCCTCGCATACGTCCGTAGTCGTAATCAGGTCGCTATTGCTGTCGCTAGCTCCGGCATTGCCGCTGGTAATCTGCCTGGTGGCACGACAGCACACAGCATGTTTCGGCTACCACTTGATCTCGGCGATGGCACTGGATATTGGAACTTGACCAACGGGTCTCAGCGAGCAGAACTCATCAGAGCAGCACAGCTCATAGTTTTTGATGAGGCCCCGATGGCTCACCGGTACATTTTTGAAATCATCGACAGATCTCTGCGTGACCTCATGAATTCACCTGAGCCATTCGGGAATAAGATCTTTATCTGCTGCAGGGATTTCCGTCAGATCGCACCAGTTGTTGCCAAGGCTCGTACTCCGGCCGACATTGCCTGTGTATCACTGCGTGCGTCATCTCTTTGGTCAAGTTTCCAAATCTTTTCTCTGTCCACCCCTCACCGGACTTCTGGGTCCACTACCTACTCTGACTTTCTCCTTCAAGTAGGCAATGGAACAATTTCATCTGTTCCTTTTGGGGAAGGCCGTGACTCTGTTGCCCTGATCCCACTGTCCGGTGTGAAATATGTGACATCCCTTCCCGACTTAATCGAGTTTGTGTTTCCTGCTTGTGACCTACACCACACAGACAGAATTGCAGGCAGGGCCATTCTCTCAACCATGAACGCCAATGTCCAACAGATCAACAACACCGTCCTCAACCTGATGGACGGCGTCGTTCATGAGTTGAGGAGTGCGGATTCTGTGGACAAGGAGAACGACGATGGTATGGATGTAGACGTTCACTGAAAAGGGGGCCGTACATGAAAAGGGGGATCACTTGGTGTACGGATGATTTGAAAAAATCAACGGGCACCGGGGCGAGAATATATGGAGTCAGACCCAAGGTGCAGTTTTGCGTAAGCCTGGGGAAACTGGCCACTGTATTCAAGGCAGAAGTTGATGCCCTGTCCAAGTGTGCGAGTGTGTTCAAGCTAAACCATATACATGAACTCAGACAGCAAAGCGGCACTAATGGTACGTGACAGTTTTGACTTTACCTCTAAGGCAGTATGGAACCATACTTTATCAGGCCATGAAAGCGCTGGGAGAGAACAACACAAGGCTTAATTGGGTTCCAGAACACAGAGGCATTGCTGGCAATGAGGTAGCTGACAAGTGGGCAAACAAAGGAGCTGAAAGCCCGCTCATGGGTCCAGAGCCGACGTGTGGTATTGCTTACAACAACAGCACGGAGAGCTGTTCGCCAGTGAATGGGCATAGAAAATGGAAGGAGCTGGGAAAGAACAGAAGGCAACATACAGTCAAAGAGAATGCTGCAGACACCTACCGGTGTTGGCTTCATTAGCGACCATTGGGTATTACGCGGACATCTACACAAGATGGGAATTCAAGTTCAAAATATCTTATCTATGTAGGAAATGTAAAGAGAAGGAAGAGGAGGAGACGGCCTTACACTTGATATTTATGTGCCCAGCCTAACAAGGTCTCTGTATGAGATCCCTTGGCCTATTGACTGGAGATCAAAGGGACGGACAGGTTACCATAGTCAAAAGGTTTTCATGGTTCATTAAGGACCTGGTATTTTATGGAAGACCTGTGAATTAGGGTGCACAATAAGCTGTTCCAGCTGTGATGCAATCCCATGGTCACTTTTAAGCCTGGCCCTCAGTAAAAAAACCCCATTTTCAAATAAGACTAAAACATCCTGGTAGATTGTAAAAAAAGAAACAAATACTGTTCCTAGTAAAAAAAATAGATTTCCCGTTATTATTATTATATTTATCAATTATAAATATTATTAAATATTAATAAATCAGTTAAATTGTGTTAGACTAGCAAAAAAGGTTGTGTTAGATTACCAGGGCCACTTGACAAACATTATTGAAAACATCATCAAAATATTTGGCTAAAATGTATCAGGCAGAAGATACAAAAATATGAGAACCATCCAGAGTACATGGAGCAGAAGCCTCAAAATACCAATAGTGTAAGCCAGATACCTGTAAAACTTTTCAAACTCAATTATATGAAAAAGTCCAACCAAACAAAACAAACAGCTTTGCTCTTGAAGATTTACAACTCATTCATGCATTAATATTGATCCTAACATTGATTATAATAACTGTATCGTCAAAATGGAGTTAAGGCTATACAATATATGTTCATTTTAGGCGTAAGATAATAAAGGTTTGCAGTTGACATATTTACTTCCCCTAGTTATTATTTGTTATATGATAGATAAGTAGTCCACTCATCAATTGAAGAATAAAACTATGGCTTACATTTTGTTCTAAGAAGTTGTGGTAAACTTTCCCAACTGTTCCTTCTGGTAATGATTTTAATTTTTGAAGATCAATGGTTTTTGAACTAATACGTGGAGTTTCCCTAAAAATAACAAAACAAACATGTACATGTAAGTTTATATTGGTGTAAATCCATTGGCAAATATATAAATAAGTAAATAAATACACAGTCCACAAAACATTTATATGTTAACAACGCCAAGCTTTAAAAATTCATGATGGTTTGCTAACACTGATTAACGGTATTTTCCCCGGTTATCAAAACTCAAGAACAATCGTTGCACTTGTGATTAATTAATTACACTTGTTAAGTAAGGCACAACGTTTTTAATCTCACTTGGTTTGGATGTGCTAACAAAACTTGATCGGAAATGGTTGCGGTATTTGTAAACAACTTTTAATGTAAACATATCAGTGACAGCTAGAAGTGAGAACTAATCCAAACAGCTGATCGTTTTTTTATAAAATGTGTAAATATTGGGAGAAAATTTGACAAAAATCGAACAAATTTGGGTTTTTGATGGTTCGTTATTTTGTTTTCAAAGAAGCGAGGCCGTGTTTTTATAGCCAAAGACACTCTCACCAATCCAGTAAATACAGAAAAATGATTAGAACCTTGATCGGTACTCTAGTTTTCTAGGAGTAACTTACCCCGTGTAAAATGACATTTTGGCGTCACAGACGGAATGACATAATGGGCACAGTGGCAGCGATAGCGGGCCCGCAGGGACCGCGTTGCGGGGGGGCCCGGGAGCTAGGGGGGCCTGTGAGCCTTGACCGGGATATTTGATAAATTTTACCGGCACACATGCCCGCGATAGTGTGACAGGCTCAGCCACACGGGTCCCCTATCATAACAATATTTATACAGTATGAGAATTAAAATAGGCTACATTTTTTATGATGAAAATTTGTTCAAACCTACAGTTCAAGTAGTTTACTACAACTAAACTAGCAATATTACTTGACCGATCGATATAAATTATCTACCAACCTACCAAGTAAAAGAATTGTCATCAGTCATGCGGGTTGCAATAACTGTCCTCTTGGATTGTGTGAAGGCGCAGTCAAAATTGGTTGCATAATAATAGGGCCGTATTTATAACCAATGTGGCCTCTGTCATCGTCACCCGCGGGGAAATCTTCTCGTCGATATCTGCGATCGCGGCAAAAGCGTAGGCCTAATCTTTCAATTTTGCTAGCGTGATCCTCACGGATATAAAAGCTTTTACTTTTAATCGTGCATTATTGTATTGAATACTGAGAAAATCGGCTCGAGCTTGATTTTCTGACTTTGTACTTGATCTCTCAAGCTTTTAGTCCAGGCTCTGCTTGGCTCGAAAACGCACTAAAAATGTTACTAATGGCCTCAGGCCAAATCAGATCGGTTCAAAATTGGGTTGTTTTGGAAACGGTTGATTTATATAATAGGCCTATAATGTTGATTTTCGAGCCGAGCAGAGACTGGACTAAAAGCTTGAGAGATCAAGCACAAAGTCAGAAAATCAAGCTCGAGCCAATTTTCTCAGTATTCAATACAATAATGCACAATTAAAAGTAAAAGCTTTTATATCCGTGAGGATCACGCTCACGAAATTGAAAGATTAGGCCTACGCATTTGCCGCGATCGCGGATGTCGATGAGAACATTTCCTCGCGGGTGATGATGACAATGTCTCCGCGGCCGCAGATGTTCAATATTTTGCCGCGATTGCAGAAGACGATAATGACGTTTCTTTTTTAGCGAGAGATATATTTAGGATTTAGATCTTTTTCGCGATTACGGAAAAATAATTTACCCGTCACCACCGACGGGTCGCGGGGAGTTATTAGGCCGTGATATTAGATTGGGCCGTGAACGCGGGAGACGATGATGCTGCTATCTAATGATGTCATAGGTTTGGTTGCATTTGCAATCACGGTAAACTATGATAATGTTTCTTCCATGACTTATGATTACGGGAAGTATTTACGATTTTGCCACGATCATGGAAGACGATAATGACGCCTCGGGAGATGCCTTGTCAAGTTTATTGCAAAATTGCGGTAATACATGAGGCCCGGCGAGCAAACTTGCGGGGGGGCCCGCGGGTTGTTATCGCCGCCACTGAATGGGCATACAGAGAGAGAAACATAAAGACAGACAGAAATTGAGATAAGACTAGTTTTGGCTTTTTTAGGCTACGAAACGTAAAAATAACCAAAAACTGCATGATTCTAAGCAATGTACAGACAAAACTGTAATTTTAGCGAATTTCCCATATAGGGAATAAGCTATTACCGTAGTACTCATTGTAATTACCGATTTCTTTTTTCGTTTTGAGATCCCTAGAGGCCAAAAACACCATCCGTTCAAATTCATATATATATATATTAGGGGTCTGCTGTGCACCGAAAAAGTCGTACGGTACGGTACAAGCTTAATTACCGTCATCGGTTCGGTACAGCATTTTACACGGTACAAATTTGGTTCGGTACAGCCTATTATAATAATTAATTACTTTCAGTTTACTATCGTAGTCAACGGCAGTTGGTTCCGAGCACATAAAAGTCTTATCAGATGTTTGTTTACACAATAATTGTTGTATTCAAGTACTTCCAAGAACTGTTGAGTTTTATCACTTTTATTTCTTTACGACTTTCCCCAATTCTGTTTTATCATAAAAATAATAGCTTTATGATGACTGTTAAATGTTATCTCTAACTCAGTCAGTACTTTCGTGAATATTCTATTTGCCGCCTACTGCCATAAAACTGTTTATGGCTACATATTAAATTTGTAACTAATCTACAATCTTATTTTATAAGTTAAAATATTTGTTTCTAGCTGTTGTACCCCGGAAGAGGACACAAAATAGAAAACTTTTGGTCTTTACATTTGTTGCATAAAATAGTTATAAAACAGATAAAATATCTATAACAAATATTTTAACTTAGCCTATAAAATAAGATTGTAGATATAGATATTTTATCTTTCTATTGACGAAATCACAAGCATAGTTGTTGTCATTTGCATATTTTTTTTCGTTATGCAAGCCTACTCGGTCTCAAATTATGTCATTGCATGTTCTGTATGTTGTCTTAGATGTGGCTGTTTAAGGCTTAAATGTTTTTTAGTTCCCTGTATTTTTTATTGAGTTGAAGGTACTGTACTTTATGCAATCTAAATCTTATGAACTAGATAGTGATTTTGCTACCCTCATTGTAACCTAATCAATTTATATATAGGTCCTCCTAAATAATTAGGTCTAGGCCTGGGTCTTTTGATTCTTTGGAAGAGCTTTAAAATATACTAGAAAATTGGATTGAGCCTGAGATAAACTAATGATTGATATGATTGATATTGTGGATGTTTGTAAATGAAAAGAATCTTACTCTGTGATAATCCAAATTTTAGTTTCAGAAAAAACTTTGCAAGAGTTGTATCCATCTTATAACTAGTTTTGAAGCTGATAAAAAAAGATGCTCTTTGCCATTACTTCATCATAACCTCCAGTTTTTCATTGTCGTCTGCTGTGAACAGCTGGCAAAACTACACTGTCTTCGTACTGAATGCTTTTATATGTTTTTAAAAATTTTTAAAACAACTAGACATTGTGTTGGAAATAATTTACCAGTTTTGTGAAATTATCTTGTCAATAAATGTTTCAAACATGTTTATTCATAATACCCCCGCCGCAGCAAACCTGCCGACTAAGCGAATTTCCATTTGTCTGAATTGATTTTCAGTTAAATATATTTTAATAACATTAGGTTTAACGAGTACCTAGGTTTGCTGCTACAAGGAAACTAATAAAGTGTGTTTTTGAGTAAAATATTGATAGCTTAGTACAAAATAAATAAATTTGTCAAGTTTGATCAAAATATATCCATAAACAAGAAAACGTCAACATTTGACAATATTCTCCATAAGAATAACATGGGAATTTTAAATTTACAATTTTTTTAATTTTCTCCGTTACTAATAATCGAACAAAAATACTTTTATATACTAAATTATTTGTTTTTTTAAGCTCTTTAAAGAGGTCTAAAGAGAAATCGGGAAATTTTGTGTTTTGAGGGTCAAAAGTGAGAAAAACCAATTTTTACCCCATAAAACCCCCCGTAAAGCCCTGTTCCCATGGTCCGATCGTGCTGGTTCGCGAACTCATTCAAGTTTATCCCGCTTTACACCTTTAAACCAAATTTCATCAAAATCTGACAAAAATTACTCAAGTTATCGCGTTCACGGACGTATATATATATATATATATATATATATACGTCCGTGAACGCGATAACTTGAGTATATATATATATATATATATATATATATAAGTCTATATACATATATATATATACATATATAAAAATTTGAACGAATGGTGTTTTTGGCCTCTGGGGACATCAAAATGAAAAAGTAAATCGGTCCCGGGTCTAGGTCTTACCGTGCCACCTACGGTAATAGCTACTTCCCTATAGGGAAATTCGCTAAAAACTCTTATCCTATTTTAAAACCACTTTATCATGGCTATTCAAAGTATCTCAGAGTAAAATAGGTAAAGCCTTTATCTTAACTGTGATTTTTCTTGACACAATCCTCGTAGTAGTAAAAGGTTTTGTTTTAATAAAGTGTGGTACAGTAACTGTCGTTAGAAAACCATGAATGTAGGATACTATCCATTATCATAGTAATGTCAATGTATTAAAGTTAAAAATAGCCTAATGGTTTAAATACAGTTCTGAGAAGAAAACCCGGGTCATTCCATGTCAAATCAACCAATAAAAAAATAATTTCAGAACTTGAGGTTTTCAAAATGTTTAATATTTGGTAATTTTGTTCTATACCTCAAAGTAATAGAAAATACAAAATTTTAGATTTTTTTAACTTTTTGTTTCTGAGTTATAAATTTTTGAAAATCTAAAAATCGGCCGTTTTTTGACGTGTTTGGAAATCTTTAAATACCTCTAACTACAAAACCATTCAACCTAGAGAGTTCAAACTTTCACCATTCTCTTTAGAATTTCAAGAGCTACAATTTGATATGTCACTTGACTATATTAGATTAGTAATAGAAATTTTCAAAAATCCAAAAAAAGTTTT